GATAATTATGATTGGAACAAATGCAGTTGGGCTCCAAATCTCAAAAAAAAAATAAATAAATATTGGAATCGATAGAGATGATTTAGCTGAGTATAACGGTATACTTCTTTTTTTCGGCAAACAACAACAACAAAAATTATCAAAGGTTAAAGTTCAAAATAAGCAATTTTTGAAATCAAGATTTCTTAAAAACGGATGGATGGATCTTGAAAATTCTGATCCCGTTTAATAGGAAATTTGATTCCCTTTAATTTGGTGTACGTACTTTATATATATGTTGTATAGTTCTTACAAAAATTTAATTAATGTAAAATAATTATAAAAAAATACCTTTTGCAGAGAACACCTTTCTGCGTAGGCGGCCTTCGGCCGCACTTATGGATTATAACCCTCACAACGTAGAATTCTCTTTCTGTGTTGCGAAGAAAAGGCACCTTTTGCATAGAACACCTTTCTGCGTAGGCGGCCTGCGGCCGCACTTAGGGATTATAACCCTCACAACGTAGAATTCTATTTCTGTGTTGCGAAGAAAAGGCACCGCACTTAGGGATTATAACCCTCACAACGTAGAATTCTCTTTCTGTGTTGCGAAGAAAAGGCACTGAACACCTTTTGCAGAGAACACCTTTCTGCGTAGGCGGCCTGCGGCCACACTTAGGGATTATAACCCTCACAACGTAGAATTCTCTCTGTGTTGCGAAGAAAAGGCACTGAACACCTTTTGCAGAGAACACCTTTCTGCGTAGGCGGCGTCGGCTGCAGTTAGGGTTTGTAAGCTTTTTTTTTATAATTATTTTACATTAATTCAATTTCTGTATGAACTATACAACGTATATATAAAGTACGTATAGCAAATTAAAGGGCATCAAATTTGCTATTAATGAGATCAAAATTTTCAAAATCCATTTATTCGTTTTTGAGAAGTCTTGATTTCAAAAATTGTTTATTTTGAACTTTAACCTTTGATAATTCTTGTTGTTGTTGTTTGCCCAAAAAAAGAAGTATACCGTTATACTCAGCTCAATCATCTCTATCGATTCCAATATTTTTTTTTTATTTGAGATTTGGAGCCCAACTGCATTTATGCCTTATATTTTTTGTACCCGAGCGCACTTGTGCACAAGGGTATTATAACTTTGATCACATAACGGTTGTTTGTAACAGGCAAAATGAATCGAGATAGATATAGACAAATGTATACATAAATGATCAGGATGAAAAGAGAAATCGATTAAGCGGTGACTGTCTGTCCGTCCGTCCGTCTGTCCGTCTGTGCACACGATAACTCGAGTAAAAATTGAGATATCTTAACGAAACTTGGTACGTGCACTTCTTTCGGGCGTAGGACGGATGGTATTGAAAATGGGCAAAATCGGACAATAACCACGCCTACCTCCCATATAACGGTAATTTTCAGAAATACAAAAACTGCGATATTTTAGTAACTACTCAAGATAATTCACTCAAAACTGATATTTATAATAAATTTTAGACGAAAAATAAGAATATTAACATTTTTTTGAAAATGGGCGTAGCCACGCCCACTTATGGTTACATGTGTATATCTTGGTAACCGCTGCATCAATTTATTCCAAACTTTGCACAGTTGTTGGCCTTAATACAGCATACTAAATGACCGAAAATTTAAAAAATCGGACAATAACCACGCCCACTTCCCATATAACGGTAATTTCCAGAAATACGAAAACTGCGATAGTTTCGTAACTACTGAAGATAATTCACTCAAAATTGATATTTATAATAAATTCTAGACGAAAAATAAGAATATTAACATTTTTTTGAAAATGGGCGTAGCCACGCCCACTTATGGTTACATGTGTATATCTTGGTAACCGCTGCATCAATTTATTCCAAACTTTGCACAGTTGTTGGCCTTGATACAGCATACTAAATGGCCGAAAATTTTAAAAATTGGGCAACAACCACGCCCACTTCCCATATAACGGTAATTTTCAGAAATACGAATACTGCGATATTTTAGTAACTACTGAAGATTATTCACTCAAAATTGATATTTACAATAAGTTTTAGACGAAAAATAAGAATATTATAAATTTTTGGAAAATGGGCGTAGCCACGCCCAGTTATGTTTACATGTGTATATCTTGGTAACCGCTGCACCAATTTCTTCCAAACTTGGCACAGTTGTTAACCTTGGTATAACATACGAAATGGCCGAAAATTTTTAAAATAGGACATTAATCCCATATAACGGTAATTTAGAGAAATACGAAATCTTCGATAAATCAGTAATAATTGAAGCTAATTTATTCAAAATTGATGCTTGCAACAATTCGTTGCCAAGAAATACGTTTAGGATACAATTTTGAAAAATGGGCGTGGCACCGCCCACTTATGATCACATATATGTATCTCGGTAACCGTTCTACCAATTTGTACCAAACTCGGTGTGGTTATTGTACTTGCCACATAGAAGCAAAACGTTGAAACTTATTGAAATCGAACTAAAATTACGGCCGCTTTTCATATTACAGTAAATTTCAGATATGCTTGAAACTTCAATATTTCGAAATTCAAGGACGCTAATTTACTCAAAATGGATACACCTCGGTTTACCATGTAGCGGTAGCTTTCGGAAAGGTGAAAAACATATATTTAATACTTGCGCCGGGTATTTAATGTTCGGCTCCGCCCGAACTTAGACTTTTTTACTTGTTTAAAGAAAGTATAATTAAAAACTAAAAATATTTCCGTATTCTGCTTTCTAGAGCCAATAATTTTTATTTAAGAAACGTAACATGACATCACTTTTAGGTTTTAGTTGCGACCTTTTTTCGTTCACTGTACTGTACATGCGTTCCGATCATACGGGCTCTGTCACACGGTCAGTAAATATCACGATATTTGGATCGCGATCCATATTGATGGATTGATGGATCGCGCACGTATGTTACATGTTCAATATTTATTGCGTCAGTATTTGCATAATTTTTCTGCTACGCGCTTATTATATCGCAAGAATATATTTTTATTTTATACGAATAATTTACAGATAATGCATTCCATAATTATGTTAAAATTTCCAACACTAATTTAAATATTTTCAATTTATTTTGAAAGGTTTAAAGCGCCGAGAGCGAAGGTAGACCGAATGCCGCGTATTCATAGTCCAACAACTAAGTCGAAACTAACAAAGTTGCAACTTAAATTTAAGTATCAACTTAAAATTTACCTCTATTCATAGTCGCATTTCGGACTTCTACTAAGTAGTTTCGGCTTAGTTTACGATATAGCAAAACGAGTGTGAAAATGTATCGATTTTTCTTTACGATATTTTGGAAAATTAAATTTTTATTAAATAATGTCAAGTTTGATCATCCGTTTATGTAATTTTTATTTTCATTGCATGACTATGCACAAGAATAAGGTATCATTTTCTTGTTAATTGTGTGAAATAGCCAGAACAACCGCAGTGATGTGAAGTCGATGTTTATCGAAGCATGCTGTGAAACATACAAATAGTAGATGTCTAAATGTTATGCACAAATTTACTTTAAAAGAACTAGCGTGAAACTGACTTATTATTTGAGAATTTATCTAAATTATTCCAATTATAAAATTGTGATGTAGCTTTATTGGAATTGTAATACGCATTTAATTTCATCCGATTAAAATGGATCGATCTTTGTAAATTTTAATTGGAGATTATTCAATATTATCAAATTCATCCTCTACCAACTTAATTTTTACATATTTCGTCTGTTTTCCCTTAATTTGACAAAATACTTCTTCCTAGTTACGACTTACTGCCGTCCCTAAATTGGAGCGCTAAGCGTTGCGTTATCCATTGTCAACGAGTGTCATCGCGCGCTATACCCAAATCAACGCGTCGTCAATTTTGACGTTTTCTCATGTCCTCTCGTTTTTATTCTCGTTTCCTTTTTCACTTCTTTGTCCGTTCTCTTTCTCTTCGTCTTCTGCATCCAACTTCAGCACGTAACGCCCTGTCAAAAAATGAAAATTCCATTTGCTCGGCGTTAGCGCCGCGTTATTGTGGGATGCTTCATACAAATTGTATGGGCATGAGGATTTTTGACAGTTGCTTGGCGCTTGACGCGCCAATTTAGGGGTGGCAGTTAGTTGCAGCTGTAGCCGAAACTAAATTTCAAGTTGGTACTTAGCCAAAAAAGTCGAAACTAAGGCGACTACGAATAGCTTTAGTTGTGATTTACAGGTCTATTCTGCGCTGGTTATAAAAAGTTTGTAACCGGTAAATAAAGTTCCTGTCAATTTTTAAACCCTTTTCGCGTTCTGTATACTCTTGTAACCGGTAAATTTTGTTACCATCTCATAAGCTGGTAACAAATTATTGCCCCGTGAAATATGCAATGCCAGGATTTGCACAATTCTTCATAGCTGAATTGCTGAATATTTTAACTGCATTACCAACGTACCTAGAATCGCGGTGACAAGAACTGGTAACATTTTTTGGTAATACAATTTTCCGGTTACAAAATCTTCGGTAACGTGCAGAATAGCCCTGTTAGAATAGTTTCGACTTAGTTGAGTACTAAATATGACTATGAATATGCGCCAATATGTTTTTGATGCTCGCAAAATGAGAGTCCAAGATGTACTGATGAAATATAAGGATCGCGTTTTGAAAATGCTAAACGTTCAATATTTATTGACGGTATTGCGATCCGCGATCGAGATTTCAAAATGTTTAGAAATTTTGCGATATGGATCACGATCCATCAATATTGTATGCTACACCGTCAATAAATATGGCGATACTTGGATCACGTCAATAAATACTGACCGTGTGACAGAACCCTACTGATGACTTTAGGCCAACATATTTAATGCCATATATATATAAAATGCACATTTACCATTGTTGTGTCTTAAATTTGAAAAATTTTCGATAGTGAGAATACTGGATAGTTTTGAAAAACTATCGATAGTGAAGAAAAAACCAAAACCATCGATAGTATCGGTAGTGCCACCTATAGTTTGCCACCACTATATTAGCCAACAGATGTCATTTTTTTCTCATCATACCAACAAATAGCGGCAAGAAATAGTAAATTTGCTAATATTAGAAAAGAATTGGGCCAATTTCAACCACGAACTCAGACGTCTACATAATGAATGAGGAATTCAAGTTACCGAAACGTTCCCGCAAGCGTCTACGTGAAGTCAAGCGCCGGGCCCGTCCAGAATTGGGTGATAAAGAGGCATGGTCAGCATTACGCTACTGCGAGCGTTTTGATGACTTCAAAAAATTTGAAGATAATGTTGAACGCATTAAAGAATCTGATTTCAGTTGTGACGAGTTTGTAGAGCGCTACGAGAAGCCATATCTTCCAGTGGTTATAGAAGGCTGCCAGGAAGGGTGGCAAGCAGAAGAAAAGTGGACCCTGCCACGCCTCTCCAAAAAGTACAGGAATCAAAAATTTAAATGCGGCGAAGATAATGAGGGATACAGCGTGAAAATGAAAATGAAGTACTATGTGGAGTATATGCGATCTACACTAGATGACAGTCCTCTATACATATTTGATAGTAGCTTCGGGGAGCACCATCGTCGTCGGAAGCTGCTCGAGGATTATACAGTGCCCAAATATTTTCGCGATGATCTTTTTAAACATTGTGGAGAAGATCGCCGACCACCGTATCGTTGGTTCGTTATGGGACCTGCTCGCTCTGGAACGGGTATACACATAGACCCGTTAGGTACAAGCGCATGGAATGCTCTTCTTTGTGGACATAAACGCTGGTGCTTATTTCCAACACAAACTCCTAAAGAATTGCTAAAAGTACCCAGTGTCATGGGAGGTAAGCAACGAGATGAAGCAATCACTTGGTTTAGTACCATTTATCCTCGCACTAAGCAACTAGACTGGCCAGCCGATCTTCGACCAATTGAAATCCTACAAAATCCGGGAGAAACAGTATTTGTGCCAGGAGGCTGGTGGCATGTAGTTTTAAACTTGGACGATACAATAGCCATCACACAAAACTTTTGTAGTCGCACAAACTTTCCAATTGTGTGGCACAAAACTTTACGCGGTAGACCTAAATTGTCCCGAAAATGGTTCCGTGTACTTCGCGTAAAAGAACCTGAGTTGGCTAAATTAGCTGAGAGCATTAAAGTGGATCAAAGTACGGGTTTCGCTTCAGATAGCTCCAGTAATTCGAGTTCATCATCCAGTTCCTCATCATCTTCGACAGAAAACGAAGGTAATGGCATCGATAGTTGCTCTTCTAATACAGACAGTGGACAAGAGAGCTTAACGGCGAAGAAAAAGAAAAAGCGGCGCTTAGGAGGCGCGACGGCGTCCAATTCTTGATGTCAGTTGTGCGACAATGACGAAATTACTATCATGGACGATGGCGTGCAGTGCGCTGTATATACAAATAATATCGGAGCTAAACGTACCGACGCTGAATCATCCGATAATAAGAACTTAAAAAAAATTCTGCAGATGCGTTTGCGATTATTCCTTCATTGCAAAAGTTAACATTTGTATTACAAGTCAAGATAAGAATAATAAATTCATTATCAATCAAAATAACTGTTTAGCTAAATAAGTAGCATTTTATTTGAAAAATAATTCTATAAAAATGTAATTCAATGTGGGTTGGACATCAGATAAGCAAAGATCAGTTGTAGCTTTATTGGTACCAGACAATAGTGCCATGGGCGTCGCCAGGATCGAATTTAGGGGGGGAGGGGGGCGCCCGACATAAAAAAAATCCCAACATTTTTATCTTTACACATTCATGTTTCTGGCATGCGGGATACGATATGTACTTGCCAATTCGTTTTACAAAAATTATTTAAAAAGCAGACGTCTCGGTTGCTCAGCAAACCGGTTAATCGTTTCTGCAATTATTTCACAATGATTCTCTAAAACAAATTTTCGATGTATTCTTAAAATGCATAAACCTGAAGGTAAATTTTATAGGAAATTACACTAACAATTTATTAAAACTAGTAGTAACCTCGAAATACTTAGCTCAAAATTTATTTAAATAACTTCGTGAAAGACAACAATTAATCTTGTATTGCTAGGCACCTGATAACCCAGGATAATTTTTAACTTCTTAAAAGACATTACTCTACTCTAAGCTTCGTGCAGTGGGCCATGAGAAAACCGTCATCTTTAAGGTATAGTCGAACCTTTCACAATATCTGGTATTAGTCTTAATCTGAAACGCAATAATCATTGAAAATTGGCACCCTTTATGGTGAAAAGCATTTAATATCACACTTTCAAACTAAAGCTTTCTTAACCCTAGAAGCCTAATCTATTTGGGAGTAACGTAAAGCCTTAAGGCAGGACAATTTTTTAAAGAATATTGAAGTTGTGAGTTTGACTAATAATAAAACATAACTTTATTAATAAAAACTAAAACCACATTTATTTAAAACAAAATAAAAAGCAAATTTTGTGTCAAAATTGAAAAAAGACCCATTCCGTAGACTTTTAAACTCCGTAAACTTTTAGGGTTAACCCCTTCAGTACAAAAATTCAACCACTGGTTCTAAAAAATTTTAAATATGTAGATATACCGGCTAATTTTGGATCTTTCATTTTAAAAATCACATACAAAAATGTGTAAAGCTTTGAGGTTTGCGGCCATTCAGGGTCCTTTTTAATGGTCAGTGATATCCTAGGTGTTTAAAAAAGAAAAGGATCTCAGCTAGATCCATGGCTAGAGAATATATTGCACATGATTTAAAAGATTTTGACAAAAAATTTGCCGATTTGAAATAATTTAAATGTACGCTGGCATACTTCATAAACGCTTTTTTATGCTACATAATTGAGGATGCATTTACAATATCAGGAATACTTGTTTTTAAGAAACGCAAAAGAAAGGTTGATGTTTTTGGTACAACGTATAACTGTGAGTCTTTGTACTCTACAATAAAATTTGTAAAGTAAAAATACCGTTCACAATTAGTTGCTTTCGCGTACCTGTTAATTATTGAAAGTTATAAAAATTATCAGCTTTTTGTGTTCGCGTACGCAAAAAACTTGCAAAGTAGGGAAATTGAGAGAGCAAAATGACATTTCATTTGAGGGAAATCTGCTAGTTTCTGCTGGAAAAATTTTTGCCAACAGCAATTTGCCTACAAGAAAACAGCTGATCAAAAACTGCTGGTTGGGATTTACGCAAATCTCTAAATTGAATTTGATGGTTTGGAAGTTAAAATAGTAAATTGCGACTAATTAAACTTGTAAGAAGTAAGTAATTAGGTGCGTTCGACAAGTCAAAAATTTGTAATAGTTTTTCCAAATTTTTACTGGATGGCGTTCGATAACGACAAAAAATTATCCAACACACAAAAATTGAGAGAGCAAGCGTTCATTTTGATGCAAGAGAAGCGTTCATTTTGTACTGGCAAAATTTTAGTCTCCAACACGAAAACATATGATCACAAAACATATGGTCGCAATTTTTGTAAACAAACAAAATTGCATTTTCCGAGTTTTGGTATTTATATGCTTTTTGGCTGCCTGCCAACTAGTTTTTATTTCTAGAAATGTTCCTGGCGAACATTGAACGTTCACTTTCCTTTTTTCTCTATGGAGGCAACATGAATTTCAGCTTGTTTACAAATAACACATAAACAAAGTCAGCTGGTGTGTCTTCTTCTTCCGGTTTTTGCAAGTGATGGCTAATTTCCTGTTCGTTTACTTTTTTGCTTTTTCATCTCTTTGGGAGAGAATTTTCGCTTACTCTCTTGATTTTGATTGTTGGCTGGTGTTGGCTAATTTTGTTATCGAACGCAACTATTGTTCGTTTATTCCGTGAACTGTGTCAGGATAAAAGCTTATACAGACGGCAGCGTTGATCCGGATTTACTCGGACTTAATCCGAATTTCGCTGTTGGACATTTTTTACTGGAGATTTTAAACGAACGTACCTATTGACTATCCAACATTTAACAGAATTGTTACGAACGGCTTTAACTGACCTAAAACCAGATTTTGAAAATCTCGCCAAAGGGATCTTTTGAATTTTCTTTTATATCTATCTTACGTACAATAGAATAATAATAAAATTAATGTTTTTCATTTCTAATAATAATTTTATTTAAAAATAAAATTTTTGTTTTTCTTGTTCTTTTTTTGTGGCTCTTTGTAGCATTTAGAACTTATATGCGGCTCTTTTCGGCCTCGGCCTGGCCCACCCCTGCTATATACATTTTTATACAAGGCAGGATTAAACAGTATTAAACACAACAGCAAACAAAAGCTGAGCTAAGAAGAAATGACATGATATAACATTATGTTTGAGATGGAATGACATGGCATAGCAATGCATGAAATTTTTGAAAATGACATTTTAATAGATACGCTGGGAAGAAGTTAAGAAAATGTTTAAATTTATATTTTGTTACCTACTTCACCGATTTGAAATCAGAAAACTATACCTTCCATGAGCATGAAATGGTATTATAACTTTGGTCCGATATTTGTAAGTACCAGAATAAGAAGAAATAGACTCATGAAAATGTGCACTTATGTATGTGTCCAGAAAATCGAGCTGAACCGACTTAGGCATATGGCAACCGAACCTCAGTTGGGTGGCCACTGGCTGAAATGGTTTTACAGATGGCAACTGCAAGCTGGCAACTGAGTTGCTATATTGGCAACTGCATTTTTGTGTTCGCTGCGGTAATAATCGAAGATTGTGTACCTACATATAAGGTAAACTTCAAAGTCTAGGGGGGCTCGAGCCTCCTCCTGCCCCTACGTAGCGACGCCCATGAATAGTACCAATTCAACATTGCTAGATATATGTATCAAATAAAAGGATATTTCTGAAATATACACTCTTTGTTCTGATATTTGTATACCCGAGCCATATATGTAATACTCCTATATTGGCAGTAAGAGCTAGTACCGTCCGAAAACACTACAGTACAGATATATCAATAAACACGTACGAAAGAAAATGAACACATACGTTTATAAATAGACATGTACTCAACACATATACAAAAACGGCTCTCAAGTACACAATACATTGACAAAAACGGTACTGTTGTTGTTGTTGTAGCGGCTACAACAACCCTGCCCAGGTCGGTTGGTATCTCAGTCGTTGTCGTCAAGTTCCACTAACGGCAACCCTAGGAAGCGTGCAGCTTCTGCGGGGTTGGTCTTCAGGGACAAGGCCGTTAGGGTTGTCGGGTTTTCCGGGCATGCGAAGAGATGTTTCGAGTCATGTGTGGTCTCTCCGCATGCCGGACACTCATTTGGCACATCCTCATTCAATATAATCAGGTAGGAGTTTAACCTGCTGCAGTAGCCGGAGCGAAGTTGTGCAAGTGTCGTTCGCGTCTCCCGAGGCAGATGAAGCTCCGTCTCGTCTGTCCGGGGGCGGTATGCCTAGAACGGCATTCACAGGTCTAGAGTCTACATAACTCGAGACTGACTCCCTGTGAATGCCGTTCAGGGCCAGTCGGTAAGCTGTCGGGTCCAGAGGTTGCTTGATGAACCTCTGGACTTCGTCCGTCGGTTCATATAGATGCCTCCTGACGTGCCTAGGCGAGGGCTCCTCTGCAAGCAGCTGTCTGTTTGGGTGGCCACTTCTGTGGCTCCCGACCAGGAACTGCTTGCAGAGCATGATGTTGTGCTCCTTTACGGGGAGCATTTGCGCCTCGCCGTGAAGATGGTGTTCGGGCGACATCAGGAGGCATCCTATCGCTGTCCTGAGTGCGGTGATCTGTGCAGTCTGTAGCTTCGTCCACTGCGTCCTACTAGTCCCCGGCGACCACACTGGCGCTGCGTAGTTCAAAACCGGCCGGCCTATTGCCTTGTATGTTGCCAGCAACGTTTCTTTGTCTTTGCCCCAAGTACTGCCGGCTAGCGACTTGAGGACCTTGTTGCGGCTCTGTACTTTGTTGACAATAGCGGTTGCGTGCGCAGAGAAGGAGAGCAGGCTGTCGAATGTTACTCCGAGTATTTTGGGGTTATTCACCGTCGGAATTGGTGTGTCATCGACGTGAATTCCCAGCGGTAGCCTGACCTCCTTCGTCCAGGTTGTGAACAGGGTCGCAGAGGATTTCGTAGGGGAGAGGGCTAGATACTTTGCAGTGAAGAAGCGAGAAAGTTCGGAGAGATACCCGTTTACTTTCGAACACAGGTCATCAATTCTATTCCCAGTCGCCATGATCGAGCAATCGTCGGCGTAAGAGCCAATCGAGACTCCCTCTGGTGGTTGAGGGAGCTTCGAAATGTAAAAGTTAAACAGTAGCGGGGAAAGGACACCACCCTGTGGAACCCCCTTTTTTATTTTCCTCTGTTTACTCGTTTTGTCTCTAAACATTACCGACGAATGTCGACCACTCAGATAATTTGCCGACCACCGTTTGAGCCTCTGTGGGAGAGAGGAGGCCTCTATATCTTCTAGTAGCGTAGAATGGCAGACGGTGTCGAACGCCTTTGACAAATCCCCCGCTACTAGAATCGTTCTCTCACAGGAACGGTTTCGGTTAAGGCCACGAGTTATCTGAGTGTTTATGGCGTTAAGTGCTGTTGTTGTGCTGTGCACTTTACGGAAACCATGCTGATGCTTCGCTGGGGTCAAGTGGTTTGTGAAGTACGGGAGTAGCAAGGCCTCGAGTGTCTTCGCTACCGGGGAAAG